CCCGCCTCGGGAGGTTGAGGTGCCAGACGTATCGTGTGGCGGCGTCGATGAACGTGATGGTGAAGTTATACGCGCCTTGTCCAAGTTTGCGATTGTACAGTATGTCACTGTACACTTTCTACAGTGGTGCGTATGCTGGGGCACTCGGATTGTGGTGAGAGACGAACGGCTGATGCGGTAAGTCAGCTTCAGGGCAGGTGAAGCACGTTCTTCGAACTCATTGAAATTCTCTCCCGTCGTGTAGAAGCGGTGAGTCTTTGTCGAGTACTCCGGATCTTATAGTGTTATTTAACGTTGTGTTGCTTGGATGTCCCATTTGAGCGCCTATACAAGTCGGAGTTGGAATAGAAGCTGGCGGTGAAGTTGGCGCTTCTGTGAACTTCACGTTAGAGTGCGAGTCAGTTGTTGCGAGGGAGTTGGTGGTGTGTCGTCGATGGCGGCCGGTACTGTTGAGGGACCAGCGATTGGTGCCGGTGGTGCTTCTGCTGCTGCCAGTGTTGTCCCTGCTGCTGCCAATGTTGTCTCTGCTGCTGCCGTTGTTGTCTCTGCTGCTGCCGATGTTGTCTCTGCTGCTGCCGATGTTGTCTGAATCGTTGCTAACGCTCTTGTTCGTTCTGTTTCAAGTATAGTGTGTGAATACCAGAAGCCTCCGGGACTAAAGTCGGGGTCGAGATCTGGCGAGTGTGTCCAAGAGATGAAGTTGACGATGCCGTTGCTGTCGGCGGTGCCTTGATCTGGAACAAAGTCGAGGACGAAGACGTTGTTCTTCAACACTGCCTTCCCGATGTACAATCCGCCTTTCCCGTTGTACATTCTGAACTCTTGGGTAGTACTGTCTGCCTCGAGGTGAATGCCTTTCGCCATAAGTTGGCTGACGCTTAGTAAGTTGTAGCCGAGTCCTTCTGCAATCAAAACCTTTGACATTTGCAAGATGACGTTAGTTTCTCGCGACTGAAGTTGAACAATTCCTTGTCGTCGTGTGCGCAGGTTCTGGTTGTTGGCGACGGTGATGAAGATTTCGCGCTGCAGTTGATGTTCTCGTTGAACGAAGCGACCCGAGGAGCACATGTGTTGTCCGCAGCAGCTGTCCAAGAACCAGGTGTCTTTCCCGGACGGCTCGCTCTGGGCGATGGCTGCGTACGTCGGGTTCGGTTCCAGTGATTCGAGGCGAGTTGTACTTTCATCGAGTTGTTCTTCCGGTGAGTAGTGCGGCGGTGACTCGGTGATGCAGGAGTCTGTTAATGTCACCATGCAGCTTACGATGTTTCTTGCGCCTTGTGCAGGTTGCGTCGTTGGAGTCATTGACGACTGCGTTTGACCGGTGGGGTGTGCTTGTGTGGAGGCAGCTTGACTACTTGAAGGCCGAAGTTGACGTTGCGGCGGCGTTGACTGCTGCTAATTCGGGCAATGTGTGCGAGGATGCCCTGACGTCTTGCAGAGGTGGCAGAACGGCGGTACGTGCCGTTATGGTTGATGTCTATTTTGCCGGTTGTTGTTGTTGCTGTAGCGTCTTTGAGTGTGGAACGCGAACTCAGGTACTGATGTTTTCCTCTTGTGACGTTCTTCGTGCAGGTCCATGTCCTGCTGTTCGGCGTGAATTTCGGCGCAGAGTGCTGCTTCGGAGATCTTCCCGTGGGCTCGGAGAATGGCTCGAGTGGAGCGCCAATGAGGGCCGAGGCCAGTGATGACGACTGTGACGAAGGCTTCTTCGGATATCGATCCTCCGCATCGAAGGAGTCTGTCGCGCAATCCGCGACATCGGCTAACATACGCCATTCCCTTTTCGCCGGGTTTCATTTCCACTGTTGTCAGCTGTGCCAATAGTCGACTCTGATTGACGCAGTCTGTTGCTTGATACAGGTTCTTCAGGTGGCTGTACGCGAGCTCGGCGGAGTTGCCGTATCCCCGATAAGACCGGATGTTCTGCTGCTCGTTCGACATTATGTTTCGTAGCAAAATCATGTAGGCCATTAACGATTGGTATGTGTACTGCTGCTTGTCGTGTTGTGTCCCGTGCGTTGGGTATGGCAGGGAACCGTCGAAGTATCCAAGAATCTGCGCGCCTTCCATCATCAGCTCGAATTCGAAGGACCAGGTATAGAAGTCCTTTCCGTCGAAGGGCGTTGATGTTTGCAGCTTTAAAGCGTGCGAGAACTGCGACTGTATCTGAATCGCGTCTAACGTCTTCTCTTGTCGAGGTGTAGGTTGATTCGGCATGAAGTGTCAAAGCTAGCAGTAGAAAGTTTAGAAGCAGAAAGAGGGTTTGGACTAGCAGCAGTTGAGTACATATAGGAAACCCTAGATTGGGCTAGAGAGTACCCCACTGCAGGCTAGACAAATACAACATTCTGACACACCCCCATAGTCAAAGTGGGGTATAATCAGCAGAGCAAGCAGTCATAGAGCAGATTCACAAGTGCATGCAAAGCTAGAGGCATTCACAAAGGGCAAGTGAGGAGGAGGAGGCGAGACTGTAAGAGGAGAGGAGATAGGAGGCGACGGCTGAAGCTGCAGACACACGGGCAACAGGAGTCAAACTGGCACAGTGGCTACCGGAACAGCGCCCCGGACTACTGGAGTAACTGGCTCCGCGGCTAAGACGAGCGGCAGGAGCAACGGACCCACGGGCGACTGGCGCAGCTGGCTACGACTGGGCTACCAGGACAGCGCCCCGGACTACAGGTGCTGCGGACGACAAGACGGCAGCCTCCGCTCAACCTCCCCCAACTGTCCCACCCCCCTATTCACACACTCCTTGCTGCACCCCTAGCTCCACTCCCACGTCACCCCCCTAGCACCACTCCCTAGGCTCCCACACACCCACCCCCCTCAGCGACAGCTGCAGCAGTGGGAGACGGAGGAGGAGGAGGAGCAGGGGACGGCGCACACACCCGTCACCCCCATAACCGCCACCCCCACACTCCCCACCCCCAAACCCTAAAACGGGCGGAACGGGGTAGGAGCGCGGGGGACGGCGAGGGGGAAGGCGCGCGACCCCCAGGGCGCCACCATGGGGCAGCGAGGGGCCGCGCGCAGCCCCCCAGGGCGCCGCGACGGGGCAGGGGGGGGGGGGGGTCGCGCACGGCTCCAGGGGCGGCTCGCGGGTCTCCGGGGGACGACGCGAGGGTCGACGGGGATCGCGCGCGGGTCCCGCGGGGCGACGCGACCGTCGACGGGGCAGCGAGGGGTCGCGCGCGGCTCCCCAGGGCGGCGCGACGGGGTGGCGGGGCGACGCGACCACCGACGGGGCAGCGGGGGCAGCGCGCGGGTCCCCTAGGGCGCCGCAACGGACAGGGCGGGGGCGCGCGGGGGTCCCCCATGGTAGGAAACCGCCGCGCGCCTCGGGGCGCACGGCAGGCAGAAAACCGCCGCGCGCCCCGAGCGCACGGCGGGATGAAAACCCTAAAAATTTTCGCCGTGCGCTCCGCGCGCGGCAGGAAGGAGGCGTCGCGCGACCGAGGCGCGCGACAAGTAGAACAGCAGCGGAAGCATTAGGTGGTGGGCCCACCCACAGGATCGACCCAAGGGGGTCGACCTGCTCTGATAGCATGTCAAAGTTAGCTGTAGAAAGTTTAGAAGCAGAAAGGGGGTTGCACTAGCAAGCAGTTGAGTACATATAGGAAACCCTAGATTGGGCTAGACAAATACAACATTCTGACATGAAGCTGGTGGAGCCACGTTGAGGCTCGTACGGCGCAAAGGTAGGCTGCTGTTGGTTTCCCCGTGCATACGATGAACCATCGAGGCTCATGGGGGTAACCCCGTCGTTGTCGTTGTTGTTGCTAAGGTTTGACTAACCTCTTAATTGTAACACAATTGTAACTGCTGTTGTTCCGGTTCGATACAGTGACGACTCGGGCAACTGCTCAATATCGAGTCAGTTGTTTGTCCTTGCTGTCGCGCTGTATTTGTCGAGTCAAAGGTCGCTGACCTTTGACCTTCGCGTAACCTCCGGCTGATGCCTTTTTGTCAACCTCCTCGGTTGACTCGCTGTTGCTGCGCTGTAGTTCGCCTCGTTTACAGTTCGATGTTGCGACACACAAGAAGCGTTAAATCATTTGTTTCCAACAGCAAATACCGTTAACCAGTAACGGGTCAAGAACGGTCGAGCCCGTGAATAATGTTGTACGCGGTGAGATCGGGTTTGTAGAAAGGAAGTTCGCTATTATTTCTCTTAGTGTGGAAAATATAATTCGCTACTGTATTATTAATTTAGACTGCAAAAAGGGTTTGCTGCGAAAATAGCGAAGTCTTATGCGCAGCGCCTTGGCTGTGGTGAGGTTGCCTCAATTCGCCACAACAGGGGCTCTTGTGTGCTTGCGAACGTGCTTCCACTGATTCTCGCATCGAAGCAACAATGAAGAGGCACTGTTGGTTGGTTGACTTGGCGCCCTTCCCTTCTCAAATGGAAAGAAAATGGAGCAGCTGGAAAACGGAGATCTTGGGAAATACAACTGAAGGTGTTTCTTCAGGCCGTGATTATGGCTGGGGCATAGAGGGAGGGTGGAAATGTAAGCAGCTCTGCAGCTCGCATTGAGAGGGTGTGAGCGAACGAGAGAGAGACACTGGGTGGCTGCAGCGAGAGCGAGAGGGAGAGGTACGGAGAGAGATACAGAGAGTGATAAAAAAGTCAAGGCATCAGCATTCGCATGTACGTAGCAGGAACGTTGCTGGTTCGTACGGAGCTGGCCCACGCGGGTCAATTCAAGGCCGCGACGATTCGGCCGTTGTTAATGTTGGAGTGGTTCGCCCTATTGCCGATTTCCTACTAGACTTAAAGATACGATTTTTGAGGCTTCCCAAATGGTTCGTGGTATTGTAGTAGACTTACGATACGCGAGCGACTGGTAAAGCCGCCAGTAGTAGGCTTTCGATCGAAAAGGGCTGGATTGTGTGCCGCGTCGTGTTAGGACTGTTGCATCACCGCGTCACCGCATCACCGCATCGCAGCCTCTTAAAGCGCTCCAGAAGAAAGGTCGAATCGTAGGAGACGCGTCGCAATGCTCCGCATCACGACGGGCGCCGATCGCGGCGGTAGGGGCGGAACAGACGCGACAGACGACGGGGCTGTCACCTCCCCCTCGCCGTCCCTTTCCCCCTCGCCTTCCCCCCTATCCCCCGCGCTTTCCCCTTTCTCCCCCACGCCTCCGCCGTTCTCCCCGTCGTCTGCGTCCGCGCAAATCAGCCGGCGCAGGCTGCACCTGAGCTACGACTTCGACGGGGAGAGCAGCAGCGGCGGGGAGGGCGGCGCAGGCGGAAGCGGAAGCGGAAGCGGAAGCCGGCGTCGGATGCGCCAGGGGCACCGCAGCTTCTCCCACCGCTCCGCAGTGCTCTCCCCCCCCGATATCTCCCCCTTAGGATCCCCCTCCGTAGGTTCTCCCGCTGCCAGGCCCGCCAGTCCCTTGGGAAGTCCGCGCAGGAGCGCGCTTGGGGGGATTGGCGCGCTCGGGGAGAGCGCGGGATTGGCGCTTGGGCCGTTGAAGCTGGGAAGGGGGAGTCCGGGCGAAAGCGCTGTCCGCCCGGCGGACGGAGGAGTGGGGGGGAGGGTCGGCGGAGACGGGGGAACAGGCGCGGAGCGGCGTGACAGCGGTGCCGCGGGGGAAAAGAGCGGGCGGAATGGAACAGGTGTAGCTAGTGAGGCGAGGGTTGGGGAGGCTGCGCAGAGTGATGTACTCGCGGGGGAGCAAGAGGCGCAGGCGCAAGGCAAAGCGCAACAGCAAGCGCGAGGCGGGACGGCAGCGGAGGGCGCCTCCGGAACCCCCAAGTCCGTCCCCGCGTCCCCCAGCTGGCTGGGCGGGTTGGCGGGCCTGTTGCTGGGCGCAGGCGGGGGGGAGGCGGGCGCGGCGGAAGAAGGGAAGGGGGAGGCGGGCAAGGGGGAGGCTGGCGCAAGTAAAACGGGCGGGCTGGGCTTGCTGTCCCCGTTTGCGTGGAGGGGAGGGGGGATGTGGGGGGACGGCGGTAAGGGGAGGGGAGCGGAGGGGACGGGGGAAGGGGATGGGACGAAGCAGGGGGAAGGGAGGGAGGGCGGTGAAGAAAAGGCAGCAGTTGGGGAGAAGGAGAGAGGGGGCATGGGGGAGGCAAAGGACTTGGGGGGACACGAGGGCGCAGGGGAGGGAGACGAGGAGGAAGCAGGGGAGGGGGGAGAGGAGCAAGCCGAGGGGGAACTGGAGGGCGCGGGGGGTAGGGAAGCGAAGGAAGATGAGGAGCGGCGTGTGGAAGGAGGGGCTAGCAGTGGTGATGCGCGGGGGGGGAGTGCGGAGAGCAGAGGCGCGGGGGAGGGGGTGACTGACGATGACAGTGACTTCGCGTTCCAGGCAGAGCGGTGGGAAGAGAGGGGGACAGCGAGTGGTGGTGTAGGGGGAGTGATGCAGGATGGTGGGGTGGTGCAGGATGGTGGGGTGGTGCAGGATGGTGCAGGGATGGATGGTGATCACACGTTAAATACGGATAAGACAGACGAGGATAGGTGGATAAGTTGCGAAACAGAGCGAGCTGAAGATGAGAAAGCCGATAGCGATGATAGTGACAGCAGTGAGGAAGCTGATAACGAGGATAATGGGAGCGAGGAGGCTCATAGTGATGGCAGTGGGCTTGAGGAAGCCAATAGCGAGGACACTGGTAGTGAGGAAGCTACTAGTGAGGACAGTGAGAGCGACAAGACTAGTATGATGGATGCTGAAAGTGAGATGGGGAATAGTGAGAGCGAGAGTGAGAGTGAAAGTGAGACTAAGAGTAAGAGTGACACTGAGAGTGTTGAGGGTAAGAGTGAAAGCGAGAGTGGGAGTGAGAGTGAGAGTGAGAGTGAGAGTGAGAGTGAGAGTGAGAGTGATGAGTCTGATGATGGTTTGCAAAAGGAGCAAGAGGGAGGCTGTGAGGAGCGCGGGGAGAATGGGGCAGGACTTCAAGGTAAGAAGGGTGGGGGGGAGTTGGCTGTGGGGGACGAAATGGATAGAGAGGAAAGAGAGAAAGAGGAGGAAAGAGAGAAAGAGGAGGAAAGAGAGAAAGAGGAGGAAAGAGAGGAAGAGGAGGAAAGAGAGGAAGAGGAGGAAAGAGAGGAAAAGGAGGAAAGAGAGGAAGATGATGAAAGGGAGAAAGAGGAGGAACGAGAGGAGGATGAATGGAAACAGCAACCGGAGGAGACAGCACAGGGCGAAAGCGGGAAAGAGGAGGATGAGGGCAATGAGGAGAGTGGGGAGGAAGGAGAGGTGAAGGTGGAGGGTACTAGGGAGGCAGCTGTTGGTGCTGTAAGTGGTGTGTTTGGTGCTGCTGATGATTGTGCTAGTGATGGTGCTGGTGTTGGAGAGGGAAGCGGGATGTCCAGGGCAAGTGATGAGGGGAGCACCAGGGCAGGGAGGGGTGGTGACAGGGAGATGTGTGAGGAAAGGACGGGAGAGGGTGAGGAGAGAGGCGGTAGACTTGAGGAGGAACAGCAGGAGAGTGAGGAGATAGGGGAAGAGTTGGAGGAGGGAAGGAGGGAGAGTGATGAGAAGCAGGAGCAGTGGATGGAACCCGTGAGTGGGGTGAACGTGGCAGCCGAAACTGGACTGGGGGTTGCTATGGGTGGTGCTGAGGGTGGTGCTGGGCAGGGAGAGAGTGAGAGCAGCGAGAGTGAGACCGAGAGTGGGGGAAATGAGGGGGCGATTGAGAATGAGAATGAGGGGATTGAGGGGGAGAGTGAGAGTGAGGGCGAGAGTGAGAAGGACGAGGAAACAGAAGGGCAAGCAGAGTGTGAGAGGGATGGGACCTTGAAAGGTGTTGAAGCGGCAGCACCAAGTACACTGGTGGCTGCGGCTGTGGATGGTGTGGAACAGCGGGGACAGAGTGAGGTGAGCGAGAGTGAAAGTGAGAGTGAGAGTGAGAGTGAGAGTGAGAGTGAGAGTGAGAGTGAGAGTGAGAGTAAGAATGAGATTAAGAATGAGAGTGAGAATGAGAATGAGAGTGCGGAGGGAGCAGAAGGGAGGTTGGAGCATGGAAAGGATACGGATGGGTTGTTGGATGGTGTTGAAGCCGCAACAGGCGCTGCACCAGTGGGTAATGTGGGTGGTGTGGAGCAGGAACAGAGTGAGGTGAGTGAGAGCGAGAGTGAGACTGAGAGCGAGAGGACGGAGAGTGAGAGTGAGGGTGAGAGTGAGAGGGACGAGGGTACGGAAGGGCAAGTAGAGTGTGAGAAGGATGGGCCCTTGGAGGGTGTTGAAGCAGCAGCAACGGTGGCTGCTGCTGACGGTGGTGCAGAGCGGGAACAGAGTGAGGGCAGCGAGAGTGAGAGTGAAAGCGAGAGTGACGGGACTGAGAGAGAGAGTGAGAGGGAGAGTGGGGGGAGTGGGAGTGGGAGTGAGAATGAGAGTGTGGAGGGAGGGGAAAGGAGGGTGGAGCATGAAAAGGAGGGGGAAGAACGCTTGGATGGTGTTGAAGCCGCAACAGCCGCTGCACTGATGGGTGGTGTGGAGCAGGAACAGAGCGAGGGGAGCGAGGGTGAGAGCGAGAGTGAGAGTGAGAGTGAGAGTGAGAGTGAGAGTGAGAGTGAGAATGAGAGGGGGGAAACCGAAGGTAAGGAGATTGAGAATAAGGACAGTGGGAGTAAATCTAGTGAGAGTGAGAGTGAGGAGAGGGAGAGCGAGAATGAGAGAGAGGAGGGAAAGGAAGAGCAGGTAGAGTATGAGAGGGCGGGGTTATTCTTGAAGGGTGTTGAATCGTCCACACCAGCTGCACCCGTGGCTGCTGCTGAGGGTGGTGTGGAGCAGAAACAGAGTGAGGGGAGTGAGAGCGAGAGCGAGAGCGAGACCAAGGAGATTGAGAGTAGAGATAGTGGGAGTAATTTGAGCGAAATTGAGGGAAGTGAGAGTGAGGAGAGTGAGAGTGAGGATCAGAGTGAAAGAGAAGAGCAGGTAGAGTATGAGAAGGAGGGGCCTTTGGATGGTGTTGAAGCCACAACAGCAGCTGCACTGGTGAGTGGGGAGCAGGAGCAGAGTGAGGGGAGCGAGAGTGAGAGTGAGGGGGGTGCGAGTGAGAGTGTGGAGGGAGGGGAAGGGAGGGTGGGTCCTGGAAAGGACGGCGAGGGGTCCTTGGATGGTTTTGCAGTTACAACAGCGGCTGCACTGGTGAGTGCTGTGGGTGGTGTGGAGCAGGGACAGAGTGAGGGGAGTAAGAGCGAGAGTGAGAGTGAGGAGAGTAAGGTTGAGAGGACTGAGAATAAGGAGAGTGGGAGTATGTTCAGTGAGAGAGAGGGAAGTGAGAGTGAGGAGAGTGAGAGTACGACGAGTGATAGGGAGAGTGAGAGTGAGGGTGAGTGCGAAAAAGAGGAGGACAACTTGAGAGGGGAGGGAAAGGAAGTGCAGGTAGCGCGTGGAAAGAAGGGCTCCTTGAAGGGTGTTGAAGCAGCTGCACCGGTTGCTGCTGCAGAGGATGGGGTGGAGCAGTTACAGACCGAGGGCTGCGAGAGTGAGAGTGAGAGTGAGGGGACTGGAAAAGAATTTGAGAATGAGAGTGAGGAGGGAGGGGAAGGGAAGGTGGAGTATGGAATAGAGAGGGAAGGGCCTTTGGATGGTGTTGCAGTCACAACTGCAGCTGCACCGGTGGGTGCTGTGGGTGGTGTGGAGCAGGAGGAACAGAGTTTGGAGAGTGAGAGTGAGAGCGAGAGTGAAGGGACTGAGAGGAACAGTGGTAGTGAGGGTGAGAGCGGGAGTGAGAGTGGGAGCGAGAGTGAGAGTGAGAGTGGGAATGAAGGGCCGGTGGAGGATGGAAGGGAGGGGACGTTGGATGGTATGGAGAGCTCAGCTCCTCCAGCTGGATCGATGGCTGCTGCTGCGGGTGGTGTGCGGCAGGGCCAGAGTGAGGGGAGCGAGAGTGAGAGTGGCAGCGAGGGTGAGGACGGAGAGGAGGGGCAGGTACATCGCGTTATGGAACGGTGCTTGGATGATGATGAAGTGGTAGGGTCAGCGGAACTGGTTGCTGCTGCTGTGGGTGGTGTGGGGAAGGCACAGGGTGAGGAGGGGGGTGAGAGTGAGGAGACGAAGGGTGGGGAGATTAAGAACAAGGAGAGTGCGAGCAAGTTGAGCGAGAGAGAGGGAAGCAAGAGTGAGGAGAGTGATAGTGAGAGTGAGAGTGGAAGCGTGAGTGAAGAAAACGAGAGTCAGAGTGAGAGAGAGGAGAGTGGGAATGAGAGTGAGAGAGAAGTGAGTGGGAATGAAAGCGAGACAGAGGAGAGTGGGAGTAAGGGAGGTGGAGAGAGACAAGGGGATGCAGGGGAGATGACTGAACAGGGGAAGGGAGGTGAGAGGAACAACAGAAGACGGGGTGAGACGGACGGTGGGAGTGAGACTGGGAGTGAGAGTGAGAATGTGAGCGAGAATGAGAGTGAGACTGATAGTCATGGGGAACATGTAAGGAGGCTGGTTGATGCTGTTGCTGCAGCTGCTGTTGATGCTGCTGCTGCTGCTGCTGCTGTTGCTGCCGCCGCTGCAGCTGTTGTTACTGCTGCTGCTGCTGCTGCTGCAGCTGATGCTGATGCCGATGCTGCTGCTGATGCTGATGTTGCTGCTTCTGATACTTCCTGGGCTGCCTCTGTTGCTGCATCAGGTGTTGATGAAGGGCCACAGTTGGAACAAGCAGGTGAAGGGCAGGATTTGAAATACACAGGTGAAGCAGATGGTGAGGAGAGCAGCGAGGAAGAGGGTGCATCTGAGCGTGGTACCTATACTCAAGACGACGCCCATGGCACCCAAGACGACGCCCATGGCACTCAAGACGACGCCCATAGCACTGGCTTGGCTGAGCTACCAGAGAGTGCAGCAGTGCTGGAAGTGTTGAGTCCCGTCTATGCTGCTGCCACGCATGGCACACCCGCCCTGCAGGCTCCCTGGGACGACCATGGCAGCAGCTGCTTTGCCTCTGCCTCTGCCTCTGCATCTTCCGTTGCCTCTTCCGTTGCCTGTGCCTCTGGTGATGCTGCTCGTGAGAATGCTCGTGGCTTGACTGGAGCAGTGGATGCAGCGGCTGAGGGGGAGACGCATGGTGGGAGGGACGAGGGGAGGGAGGGAGGAGAGGGGGCGGTGCAGGATATGTTTGTGGAGGGGGAGCTGGTTGCTCTGGGCATGGAGGAGGGAAGCGGGGTGGTGGAGGTCGAGGGAGAGAAGAGCACTGTGGAGAGTGAGGGCGTGGGGGCGGCAGTGGAGGGCGATGAAGGGACGGCGGCAATGCAGCAGGACATGTTTGTAGAGGAGGAGCTGATTTCCCTGGGCGTGGAGGAAGGGGGCAGGGTGGTGGAGAGGGAGGGAGAGGAGCCAGTACAGAGCGAGCGAGTGGGGGAGGCAGTGGAGGGTGATGCAGTGAGGGCGGCAATGGAGGGAGATAGAGGAAGAGCGGCAGCGCAGGACATGTTTTTGGAAGAAGAGCTGATTTCCCTTGGCGTGGAGGAAGGGGGCAGGGCGGTGGAGAGGGAGGGAGAGGAGCCAGTACAGAGCGAGCGAGTGGGGGAGGCAGTGGAGGGTGATGCAGTGAGGGCGGCAATGGAGGGAGATAGAGGAAGAGCGGCAGCGCAGGACATGTTTTTGGAAGAAGAGCTGATTTCCCTTGGCGTGGAGGAAGGGGGGAGGGCGGTGGAGAGGGAGGGAGAGGAGCCAGTACAGAGCGAGCGAGTGGGGGAGGCAGTGGAGGGTGATGCAGTGAGGGCGGCAATGGAGGGAGATAGAGCAAGAGCGGCAGCGCAGGACATGTTTTTGGAAGAAGAGCTGATTTCCCTTGGCATGGAGGAAGGGAGCGGGGCGGTGGAGAGGGAGGGAGAGAAGGGGGCGGTGGAGAGGGAGCGAGTGGGGCTGGCAGTGGAGGGTGGTGCAGCAGAAGGTGCAGTGCAGCAGGACATGTTTGTAGAGGAGGAGCTGGTTGCGCTGGGCGTGGCGGAAGGAAGCGGGAAAGTGGAGAACGAGGGGGAGAAGAGGGCCGTGGAGAGAGAGAGAGGCGGAGCGGCAGTGGAGGGTGATATAGCGAGGGGGGGAGTGGAGAGTAATGACGAGAGGGAGGCAGTGCAGGACATGTTTGTGGCGGGGGAGCTGGTTGCTCTAGGCGTGGAAGAAGGGAGTGGGAAAGTGGCGAACGAGGGAGTGGGGGCAGCAGTGGCGAGTGATGGAGGGCAGGCGGCAGTGCAGGACATGTTTGTAGAGGGCGAGCTTGCTGGGCTGGGCGTGGATCGGAAGGATGGGGAGATTGAGAGGCATGACGGTATGGGGGGTTCAGGCAGAGAGGTGGGGGTGGAAGGGCACGCAGGTGCACTGCAGGTACTGCCTGCTGCTGCCGCTGTTGCTGCTGCAGCTACTGCCACTGCTGCTGCCTCTGCCTCCGTTCTTCCCACTCTGGCCAGGCCCCATACCCCCCACACCCCCAACAGCCCCCACGCCCCCCACACCCCCCACAGTCCCCCAACCACGCCCACCAGCGGTGTGAGTCCGAATGCACGGCAGCGCATGCAGCGGGCGGCGAGGAAGCTGCAGTTCGTCACGTTCCTGCGCTCACACATGGGGGGCAGGGCGGAGGGTGGGACTGGTGGCGCGCAGGTTGGGGCAAGGGCGGAGCATAGGACCGATGGGGAGCAACGGAATGACCGTGAAGTCAAACCGGGTGGTGTAGATGCGAGCATGAGTCTGGACGGCAGTGTGGGTGAGAGCACAGCGAGTGTGATGGAGGCGATGCAGCGTGCTGATGGTACTCTGAATGGTGTGGGGAAGAGCTTGATAGGTGATGGCAGCACAGCATGTGTTGAGGATGTGAGCAGGGTTGCTGATGGTGGTACTGTGGGCGGTGTGATGGAGCAAGGGGGAAGGCTGTCTCAGGGTGGAGATGAACTGGGGTTGCGGGAGGGGGATAGGGAGGTGATGGGGGCCGAGGCGGCAAGGGGGGGGAGAGAGGGGCCGGAGAGTGAAGGTGATCGGGAAGAGGGAGAAGTGGGGGAGGGGAAAGAAGGGAGCGCGGAAGGAGAAGGTGGGGAGCGGGAGGAGGAGGGTGGAGTAGGAGAGGGGAGCGTGAGTGAGGTGAGGGAAGAGGAGGGAGAAGGGAGGGACGAGGTGGGAGAGGGGAGGGAGGAGGAGGGATCAGGGAAAGAAAGTGAAGGGGAAGGGAAAGTGGGAGGGGAGAGGGAGCGGAAAGTGCGGAAGGCAGAGGATGAGACGGTGCGTGCCGTGGAAGGAGCGAGTGGACCGAGTGAGGAGGAGGAAGGAGGGCGATATGAGGAGGAGGGTTCAAGGGATGGGCAGGCAGGGGGGAAAGGTGTGTGGGGCGAGGAAGAGGAGGCAGGGAGTGAGAGGCTGGTGACAGAAGAGTCAAGAGGAAGTGAGAGGCGGCAGGTGCAACAGTTGTTTGAAAGCGGTGGGAAGATGGTACAGGCAGAGAAGGGGAGTGAGAAGAAGCAAGAGGTAGAGAAGGAAGGGAGTGATTCGCCTTGTGCTCCCAACTCCCCTGCATCCATTCCGGATTCTCCCACCTGTGGCGTTGCTGCCTCCAGCATTCCCTCTGCCCTCCCTCCTCCTCCTCCACCCCCTCCTGCAGCAGATGACGTGTGGGTTGACGAGAGCGAGGGGGGGAAGAGTGAAAAAGAGGGAGAGAGGGAGGAGAGGGAAGAGGAGGGAGGGGAAGGAGAGAAGGAGAGTGAAGAGGAGGGAGAGAAGGGGGAGACAGAAGAGGAGGGAGAAGAGGGAGAGAAAGGGGAGAGTGAAGAGAAGGGAGAGGAGGGAAAAATGGGGGAGAATGAAGAGGAGGGAGAGGAAGGAGAGAAAGGGCAGAGTAAAGAGCGAGAGTTGGTGCGACATGAGGAGGGGAGTGCAAGGGGGGATGAGGCGGGTTTGGTTGATGGTGGTGTGGTTGACCAGGGACCGGGTACAGGGGGCGAGGAGTGGGTGGGACAGGAGGAGGGAGGGGGTGAATGCGGAGGGGGTGTACAGCCAGTGGGGCATGTGGAGAGGCGGGTGCCAGGAGAGGATGGCGTGAGGCATGATAGCAGCAGCGCCAGCAGCACAGTAGGAGCAGCAGCAGTGGCGGCAGCAGCAGCAGCAGCAGCAGTAGTGGTGCCTGGGACTCTGGAGCCTCTGCAATCTGCTGACAAGGTGAGTGAGTGTGGGGACTGCACGCTGACAAGGTGAGTGAGTGTGGGGACTGCACGCTGACAAGGTGAGTGAGTGTGGGGACTGCGCACTGACAAGGTGAGTGTGAGTGTGGGGAATGCACCCGCTCTCTGCTCCTCTGAGCCCTCATTGCCGCTCTTGTCGCCTACACGAAACTCATGAGCTCACCCTCACACCCACCCACTGGCCGTTGCGTTGCAAGCAAGCTGCCTGCAAAGCTCATAAGCATGCTGGCTGTGCTTGAACGGCCGCCAATGGGACGACATGCCCCCCTAACCACCACTGCTTGCACACGCGGATGTGGAACCACTCGACTTGTTTCGAGATGTCCCTCTCAACCGCTCCCGGTTCTCGTCCATCCGGTTATTCTGCTCCCCTTCAGCCTACGCGTCTCTCCATTTGCCGCTCACTTCCTTTCGTACTTGCTACCCCTCACACCCCCGCCTGTCCCTTCCATCCCCATTGCCTCTCACCGTGCCTTTCTTCCAGTTGCCCGCCTGGCAGCCAGTGGACCAATCAGAAGACGTTCCCACCTCACACACTCCCTGTGAACACATCTCCTCTCCCACCAGCACCGATGCTGCTTCTCATGCCGAGTCACTCTCTAACGAGGATGCCACATCCCCATCGCTCTTCCCCGATGCTGACTCCCCATCCCTCGGCTCTCCCGCTGTCAGTGCTGCATCTCCTACCACCTCCTCCCCTCTCCTCCAAGACTTGAGCTCCACCCATCACCCTCACATCGCCTCCCCTCGTTCCCCCACGTCCACCTCCCCTCATCTGCCCACCTCGGGCTCTCCGCGCGTCAGTGAAGCTGGGTCCCCCACTTCAGTCCCCGACTCCCCCACCTTTGGACTCGCCAGTACCCCTGCCCCTGCCAGCCCCACTGCTTCTGCCGTTGAGGATGGGACGAGTGCAGACTCCCCAACCTTCACCGTGGACTCGCCCACATTTGGGTTTGCTGCCCCCAGCATTGCAAGTGCGGCAGCGCCAGCTTCTGCTGCTGCTGGCAGGGCGAGTGAAGCAAGTGGGGCGAGAGGGGTGAGCAGGGAAGGCAGAAGCAGCAGCAGCAGCAGCAGCGGCGGCGTGGGGGAGTGTCTCTGCAGCAGCGGCAGGCGCCCTCAGCGATCCCTCCCCTCCCACTGTGGATTTCTGGCGTGCTGACTCTCTTGACTCTCTTGACTCCGTTGACTCCGCTGACTCTGATGCTCTCGATCCTGATGCTCTTGATGGGCCTGAGTGTGCTGCCCACAGCAGCGCGGCAGCCCAGGGAGAGGAGGGTGCTGCTGGGGAGTCGCGAGCAGAAGAGGCACTGCAGGAGGCAGCGCAGGCGGGCAAGCACAAGGCAGAGGAAGGGGGGAAGCAGGAGGCGGAGCAGGCAGGGCAGGGGGGCGAGCGAGTGGACTGTCTGATAGAGGACTCGGTGCATGCCATGCTCTTTGGGGTGCGACCCTTCTTCACCACCCGCCATTGCCACCATTCTCCATTGCCACCATTCTCCATTGCCACCATTCTCCATTGCCACCATTCTCCATTGCCACCCTCCTTTCACACCATCCCTCCACTACCCCTCCCCCTTCATTTATCACACTCCCTTAGCTGTTCCTTGCAACTATCCCGCCCTGTCTCATAAGTCTGTGGAACTTTTTTCGCAAGCACCACATCTTCCCATCGTCTGTGCTGTCTCTTCCCATCGTCTGTGCTGTCTCTTCCCATCGTCTGTGCTGTCTCTTCCCATCGTCTGTGCTGTCTCTTCCCATCGTCTGTGCTGTCTCTTCCCATCGTCTGTGCTGTCTCTTCCCATCGTCTGTGCTGTCTCTTCCCATCGTCTGTGCTGTCTCTTCCCATCGTCTGTGCTGTCTCTCCCCATCGTCTGTGCTGTCTCTTCCCATCGTCTGTGCTGTCTCTCCCCATCGTCTGTGCTGTCTCTTCCCATCGTCTGTGCTGTCTCTTCCCATCGTCTGTGCTGTCTCTTCCCATCGTCTGTGCTGTCTCTCCCCATCGTCTGTGCTGTCTCTTCCCATCGTCTGTGCTGTCTCTCCCCATCGTCTGTGCTGTCTCTTCCCATCGTCTGTGCTGTCTCTTCCCATCGTCTGTGCTGTCTCTTCCCATCGTCTGTGCTGTCTCTTCCCATCGTCTGTGCTGTCTCTCCCCATCGTCTGTGCTGTCTCTTCCCATCGTCTGTGCTGTCTCTCCCCATCGTCTGTGCTGTCTCTTCCCATCGTCTGTGCTGTCTCTTCCCATCGTCTGTGCTGTCTCTTCCCATCGTCTGTGCTGTCTCTTCCCATCGTCTGTGCTGTCTCTTCCCATCGTCTGTGCTGTCTCTTCCCATCGTCTGTGCTGTCTCTCCCCATCGTCTGTGCTGTCTCTTCCCATCGTCTGTGCTGTCTCTTCCCATCGTCTGTGCTGTCTCTTCCCATCGTCTGTGCTGTCTCTTCCCATCGTCTGTGCTGTCTCTTCCCATCGTCTGTGCTGTCTCTCCCCATCGTCTGTGCTGTCTCTTCCCATCGTCTGTGCTGTCTCTTCCCATCGTCTGTGCTGTCTCTTCCCATCGTCTGTGCTGTCTCTTCCCATCGTCTGTGCTGTCTCTCCCCATCGTCTGTGCTGTCTCTTCCCATCGTCTGTGCTGTCTCTCCCCATCGTCTGTGCTGTCTCTTCCCATCGTCTGTGCTGTCTCTTCCCATCGTCTGTGCTGTCTCTTCCCATCGTCTGTGCTGTCTCTTCCCATCGTCTGTGCTGTCTCTTCCCATCGTCTGTGCTGTCTCTTCCCATCGTCTGTGCTGTCTCTTCCCATCGTCTGTGCTGTCTCTTCCCATCGTCTGTGCTGTCTCTTCCCATCGTCTGTGCTGTCTCTTCCCATCGTCTGTGCTGTCTCTTCCCATCGTCTGTGCTGTCTCTTCCCATCGTCTGTGCTGTCTCTTCCCATCGTCTGTGCTGTCTCTCCCCATCGTCTGTGCTGTCTCTTCCCATCGTCTGTGCTGTCTCTTCCCATCGTCTGTGCTGTCTCTTCCCATCGTCTGTGCTGTCTCTTCCCATCGTCTGTGCTGTCTCTTCCCATCGTCTGTGCTGTCTCTCCCCATCGTCTGTGCTGTCTCTTCCCATCGTCTGTGCTGTCTCTTCCCATCGTCTGTGCTGTCTCTTCCCATCGTCTGTGCTGTCTCTTCCCATCGTCTGTGCTGTCTCTTCCCATCGTCTGTGCTGTCTCTTCCCATCGTCTGTGCTGTCTCTCCTCATCGTCTGTGCTGTCTCTTCCCATCGTCTGTGCTGTCTCTTCCCATCGTCTGTGCTGTCTCTTCCCATCGTCTGTGCTGTCTCTTCCCATCGTCTGTGCTGTCTCTTCCCATCGTCTGTGCTGTCTCTTCCCATCGTCTGTGCTGTCTCTCCCCATCGTCTGTGCTGTCTCTTCCCATCGTCTGTGCTGTCTCTTCCCATCGTCTGTGCTGTCTCTTCCCATCGTCTGTGCTGTCTCTTCCCATCGTCTGTGCTGTCTCTCCCCATCGTCTGTGCTGTCTCTTCCCATCGTCTGTGCTGTCTCTTCCCATCGTCTGTGCTGTCTCTTCCCATCGTCTGTGCTGTCTCTTCCCATCGTCTGTGCTGTCTCTTCCCATCGTCTGTGCTGTCTCTTCCCATCGTCTGTGCTGTCTCTCCCCATCGTCTGTGCTGTCTCTTCCCATCGTCTGTGCTGTCTCTCCCCATCGTCTGTGCTGTCTCTTCCCATCGTCTGTGCTGTCTCTTCCCATCGTCTGTGCTGTCTCTTCCCATCGTCTGTGCTGTCTCTCCCCATCGTCTGTGCTGTCTCTTCCCATCGTCTGTGCTGTCTCTTCCCATCGTCTGTGCTGTCTCTTCCCATCGTCTGTGCTGTCTCTTCCCATCGTCTGTGCTGTCTCTTCCCATCGTCTGTGCTGTCTCTCCCCATCGTCTGTGCTGTCTCTCCCTTCCCTTCCTCGTCCCTGTTGCAGGCGGACGGCACCTCAGGAGCCTCAACACCAGCCACCTCACAACGTAAGCAATGCCCTCCCTCTTGCTCACTGCCCTCCCTCGTACTCTCTCCCACGCCATCTTCCCTCATCTCCCATGGCCACTGATTCCCCCAACCTTCCACTTCCTCCATTGCCTCCGTCCATTGTCCTGCAATCAGCTTCTTACCACTTTGTCCCTGCGCCCGCTCCTTTATCATGTCGTGTTCATTATTCGCTGCGTGGGTTTCTGTGTGGATGTGTGTGTTTCTGTGTGTGTGTGTGTGTGCGGGCGTGGATTGGTGGGTGCTTGTGTGCTTGTGTCTGGGCGTGTGGTGCGATGAGCAGCAGTATCGCCATCACCTCTGCCAGCGCAGCCCAGCACCTCCCTGACCTCTCTGGCCTCCCTGGCGTCTCTCTTCGACCGCCACATGGAGGAGCGCGAGAGGGCAGGGGACCTGCCTGTCATCGCCGCCCTCTCTTCACCCTCCTCCTGCTCCACCTCGCCCTCACCCTCACCCTCGCCGCACCCCGTGCACGCCACACTGCCTCTCTCCACCCATCCAGAACCATCTGCTTCTGCAGCTGCACTGCCAGCGGCAGCAGCAGCAATGCCAGCGGCAGCAGCAGCAGCAGTGACAGCACCAGTACCAGCGGCAGCAGTGGCAGCAGAAGAATCACCAGCAGCTTCGGTACCAACAACAGCATTGTCAGAAACAGCTGCCACGTCCGCTCCTTCCTCTGCTCCTTCCTCTGCTCCTTCCTCCGACCCTTCCTCTACCCCTTCCGCTGCTCCTTCCTTGTCTCCCCTGCCTGCAGTTACATTATCGTCTGAGCCGCCTAACCAGCAGCCGTCTCTCACCTCTGCCCTCTCACAACCCATTCTCACTCCTGCTAATTCCTCCATTCCTTCTCTCCCCGTCCGCCCCTCCTCGCCTCCCCGCCCCGCCTTTCCCTCCTCTGCCTCCTGTCCCGGCCCCTCCCTCCGCCCCTCCCCCTTTCCCCCCTCCCCTTCCTCCAAACCTCCATCCCTGCCCCGCCCCTTCCCTCCCTCCAGCCCCCGTTCTCGCCCTTCTTCTCCATCCCTCCCCCGCCCCTCTTCCCCTTCCCTCCCCCGCCCCTCTTCCCCTTCCCTCCCCCGCCCCTCTTCCCCCTCCTTTCCCCACCCCCCACACTCCCCCTCTCCCCCCTCCCGCCCATCCAACCTGCGCACTCTGTCTCGCCGGCGCCCCCCCTCCCCTCCAATGCGCTCCCCCTCTGCGCGCCCCCGTGCCCTCCTTCCTCTCACAGTGGCAGCAGCTGCCTCAGAAGGTACCTCCTACTCCCCCCGCACCTTCCCCATCCTCTCCCCCTCCGCCTCGCCTCGCACCCGCTCTGCCTCCTCCCCGTCTTCCTCTCCTCCCTGCTCTCCCTCACTCTCCTCTGCTCCTCCTCTCTCCCAGACCTTCTCACTCCCCTCCTTTCTCTCCAACCGCTACCTACCCTCCTCCTCCTCACCCACAGTCACACATGCACCTGCTGCTGCTGGCTCCTCTGCTGCGGATTCAGATCCATCATTTACCAACCAACCACCATTGCTCGTGCTGGACTCTCCACCATCTTTACTTCCTGCAAATGAATCTGAAACAGTACCAGGTGAACCTTCAGGTGAATTTTCAGGTGAGATCCCCTTGGCTGCGCGTCGTCCTATACTCCCGCCGCTCCCTGTGCTGGAGCCTCAGCAGCCAGCATCAAAGGCTCTCCCTCCCCCTCTGCCCGCACTCCTGCCACTGCCTATCTCTCCCCCCTCGCCTGCTCAGCCTGACAAGCAACCTGCCCTCACTAGCACTGATGGCATGGCGACCAGCAGCAGTAACAGCGGCGGTGGCGGCAGTGGCAGCAGCAGCACGACAGAATCAGCCCTCATATTGCTCTCTCCTGGCCAAACGGCTGGAGAAAAACCACCTGAGGATGAATCACCTGAAAATGAATCTGAAGATGAACCATCCTCAACAGCAGCAGCAAAAAGCAGCGGCAACAGTGATGTTGACCCCATTGACCCTGTTGGACCTGTTGACTCCTTCAGCTTCGCTGGCCCTGTTGACCCCATTGACCCCGTTGACCTTGACCCTGCTGCCAGCCTGCTGTTGGCTGCTGTGCCTGCCTGTGAGCCTGCAGGAACAGAAGAGGAAAGAGGTGGAAGCGAGAGAGAGGGAGCCCTGCCTGCTGTTGCTGCTGCTGCTGATGGCACAGTGGCAGGGGCAGGGGCAGCAGTAGTTTGTGCAGCAGACACAGGAGAAGGTTCTGACAGGGGGGGAGATAAAGCGCTGCCTACTGCCCCTCTTGCACCCGCTGCATCTGCTGCCCCTGCTGCCCCTGCCATTGTTGCGGTTGCTGACACAGCGGCAGTGGGAGCAGCAGCAGCGGTTTGTGCTGCTGCAGTGGCTGGTGCGGGCAGCAGCACGCCTGATGTGGAGGGTAGGAGGGAGGAAGCGGAAGGTAGGGAGGCAGTGGAGGGTAGGGAGGAGAAGAGCGGGGCAGACCAGCCTGAGACTGCAGAAGGGCGAGTGGGTGGGAGTGAGAGGAGTGGGGAGGCGGACAAGACGGGGAGCAGCATGCCTGCCATGGTGACTGCACCACAGGCTGCAAGCACCGTAGCAGCAGCGGCAGCGGTGACACCACTTGCGGTTGCAGCCTCCTTGGAGGCTCCTTCACTCTTTGAGGAGCCAGGTGTGGCAACACGTACACCCTCAGCTTCAGAAACATTGCTCAGGCCAAGCATTGCTACTGCACCTGGTGCCGCCGCAGAGAGCACTGCAGGCGGTGATGGCAGCGGCATGGGGATAGGCAGTGAATCCGGTGACGGTGAGGAGGCTGAGCTTACTTTCAGCACCACCATCACCCATGCCAGCAGTAGCAGCAGCAGCAGCAGCGGTGGTGCTAGTGAGGGTACAAGTGTTGCAAGCAGCAGCACACCAACTGTCTCTGCTGATTCAGCTCCCCACATGCCTCTCTATCGCCCCAAGGCCCCTCCTCCCCTCCCTCTCTCCCCGCGCCCCCTCTCTCCCCTGCGTTCCAAGCAGTACCTTGCACTCTTCTCCGCTCCCATGTCTCCAGACCTAAAGAAGCAGCAGCAGCAGCAGGCGGCAAGGAGGGTGGAATCTCCTCCTCTCTCGCCCCAGCAGCTGTCTGCTCTCTCATCTTCCCCTCCTCTCTCGCCGCAGCAACGGTCTGCTCTCTCGCCCTCCCCTCCTCTCTCCCCCCAGCAGCCTCCTGGAATGCCTCGCTCCCTCTCCCCCCACCGCCACCGCTTTGCCGTCTCTGCCTCCTCTGCTCTTGCTGCCTCCGCCGCTGCCACCGCCGCTGCCACCGCCGCTGCCACCGCCGCTGCCACCGCCGCTGCCACCGCCGCTGCCACCGCCGCTGCCACCGCCGCTGCCACCGCCGCTGCCAGCGCCGCTGCTACCACCGCCGCGGCTGCCACTGCCGCTGCTGCCACCCCTGCTGCTGCCATAGGTGCCACCACTTCTGATGCTAACGTTGCTGCCACCCCTGCTGCAACGGGCACAGGCAACGGCAGTGGTGCGAGCATTGGTGCACCGGGGCTTGCATCTGGTGACGCACCTGCTGCTGCAGCTGCAGCCGCTGCTGCTTCTGGTACTCCTGCTGCAGCTGGTGCTGCATATGCAGCTGCAGCTACTGCTTCTTCTGGTGCGAGCATTGGTGCACCGGGGTTTGCATCTGGTGATGCAGTTGCAGCTCCTGCTACTTCTGGTGCTCCCGCTGCAGCTGGTGCTCCCGCTGCAGCTGGTGCTCCCGCTGCAGCTGGTGCTGCCGCTGCAGCTGGTGCTCCCGCTGCAGCTGGTGCTCCCGCTGCAGCTGGTGCTCCCGCTGCAGCTGGTGCTCCCGCTGCAGCTGGTGCTCCCGCTGCAGCTGGTGCTCCCGCTGCAGCTGGTGCTCCCGCTGCAGCTGGTGCTCCCGCTGCAGCTGGTGCTGCCCTTCTCGAGGCTGCTTCGATCGGTGCTGCTGCGGGTGCCACTGGTGTTGGTGCGGCTGGGGAAGAAGGAGCCACAAGGAGGAGTGGCGGCGAATTGGGAGAAGAACGTGGAGTGATGGGGAGCGAGAGCACGAGATTTGAAAGGGGGGAAGGTGTGGGAGGTGGGGCAGCAGCTGGCGGGGTGCGTGACGGGCGAGTGAAGGGGCTGGCATCCATGTTCGAAGCCAAGTGTGAGTGGTGCTGGAAGAAAACGTGCATGTTGCTTATTGCCTGGGATGCTTCATGTATTTGCACTATTGCCATGCCATGCCATTGTGTTCACCTTTCCCCTCTTCCCTATCTCCTTAATCCTCTTCCCTCTCCCCTCTCCCTGCCGCTCCCCAATTTCCTCATTTATCTCTCCAGTGGCAGCCAAGCGTCAGAAGCAGCAATCAGTGCCGCTGCCCCTCTCCACCACAACCTCCTCGCCTGCCCCTGCTGCACCGTCCCACACCACCTCCCGCTTGCCATCACCGGACACAGCCTTCCCCACTCCTACCTCCCCCACAGACCCTTCCCTCACAGACCCTCCCCCCACAGACCCTCCCGCCACAGGGCCTCCTCCCTCAGAGCCTCTCACTACAGAGCCTCCCCTCAAAGAGCCTTCCCCACAGAGCCTTCCCCCACAGAGCCTCCCCCCACAGAGCCTTCCCCCACAGAGCCTTCCCCCACAGAGCCTTCCCCCACAGAGCCTTCCCCCACAGAGCCTTCCCCCACAGAGCCTTCCCCCTCAGAGCCTTCCCCCTCAGAGCCTTCCCCCTCAAAGCCTCCCCCTGCAGAGCCTCCTTCCGCAGCAGGGCCTGGGAAGCAGCAGCAGTGGGGGTGGTCCTCCCTGCTCGCCATGGCCTGGCGCCCCTCCTGGGGCTCCGTTCACACCCCTGCCCCTGCTCCCGCCTCCGAAGCTCTCGCCTCCGAAGCTCCCACCTCCAAACCTCTCACCTCCAAACTTTCCGCGTCCAAACCTGCTGCCTCCGAACCTCCTGCCTCTGAACCTACCGCCTCTGAGCTTTCCGCATCCGGACCTCCCACCTCCGAACCACCCTCTTCCGAAGCTCCCGCGTTTGAAGCTCCCTCTTACGAACCTCCTGCCTCCGAACCTCCCGCCTCCGAAGCTCCCGTGTCCCAGGCTGACGTTGCTGGCCGTTTTATCAATTCGCTTTCTGCCCCACCCGCAAGCCCTTCTTTCCCTGCTTCACCTGCTGCTGCCGCCGCTGCTGCTGGTTTTGCTGCTGCGGCGGCGGCTTCTGCTGCCCCTAATGGTGATGCAGGTGGTGCAGGTGGAGTTGGCAGTGCGGATGATGTGAGGAGTGCAGGTGGAGGGGGGTTTGCAGGTGGTGATGAGAGAGAGAGTGCTGGCGACAGTGCGGCTGCTGCTGGGGTGCTTCCACTAATCTCCCGTGCGCGTGCCAGTGAAGTGGAGAGTGAGCGTGAGAGTGATGGTGAGGGAGAGGCTGTGAGTGAGGGTGCGAGTGAGGATGAGCGGGAGGGAGAGGGTGAGGTTGTGAGTGATGGTGGGGGAGTTGAGAGTAGATATGAGAGTGGAGAAAACGGGGAGGTTTTGAGTGGGGGTGAGGGGATTGAGAGTAAACATGAGAGTGAAGAAAACGGGGAGGTTGTGAGTGAGGGTGAGGGGGTTGAGAGTAAATACGAGAGCGAGGAGGGTGAGTTTGTGAGTGAGGGTGAGGGGGCTGCAATTAAGCATGAGAGTGAAGGGGAGAGAGAGGTTGTGAATGAGTACGAGAGTGGGAGAGAGACTGGGGGCGAGGGCGGGAGTGAGAGTGGGGGAGAGATGCCTGCTGCAGTGCTGCCAGAGCGAGAAGCTGAATGGAGGGAGCATGAACCTAAGTGGACAGAGCCTGAGGCGGAGCAGATGAGCAAGTCCAGCAGTACACAAGGGGACGAGAGGCAGGGAGAGGGTGCAACAAAGGCAGAGGCAGAGACAGGGACAGAAGCCGAGGGAGAGGGAGAGGGAGAGGGAGAGGGAGAGGGAGAGGGAGAGGGAGAGAGAGTATGAGGGAGAGGCAAATGCAGAGATGGAGACAGCAAGTGAGATCGAGGCAGAGGGACAGGGAGAGGCAGGGGCAGAGGCAGGGAGAGAGACAGAGGAAGTGGCAGAGAGCGAGGCAGCTAGAGAGGAGGTTCCGGAGAATCACTCGGAAGGGGGGATGGATGAGGAGTCTGGACGGCGGGCAGGAGAGGAGGCGAGGGAAGCGGGGCAGGAGGAGGAAGGTGGGGTGAGGCAGGAGGAAGGTGAGGCGAAGCAGGGATGGCGTGATGAAGAGGATGGTTCAACGACTGAGGCTGATGTATTGCCCTTGCAGGAAGATTCGAGGCAGGTGCTGGAGGCTTCAGGGGCTGTGCTGAGTGGGAGTGATGATGAGAGAGAGGAGAGGGGTGATGGGGAGGGGAGGGGAGTAGGTGAGGGAGTGGAGGTAATGGTGCAAGGGGAAGGGAGGAGAGATGGGGAGGTGGGACGTGCAGAAGTGGAGGGGGGTGGCGATGGGGAGTGAGAAGGGAGAGAGTGAGGATGCTGTGGAGGAGGAGGAAGAGGAGGAAGGGAGAGAGGATGAGGGAGGGAGAGTGGGTGATTATGGGATGGAGGATGGAGGAGAAGCAGGGGAGTGCGTGTCTGAGGCAGCGACCTCCGCTGACGTGGAAGATGACGTGGAAGGTGACGTGGAGGGTGATGTGGAGGGTGATGTGGAAGGTGACATGATACTTGATCTGGAAGGGGAGGAGCTGGACGTGAGTCAGCTACAGCGGGATATTGAAGCAGTTCTTAAGGAGGCTTTTAAACTGAAAGGGAAGGGGTCGGATGGGGTGTGGCGAGTGACTGTGGTGCGAGATGGCAGTAAGGCTGGGAGTGTGGTGGAGGTGGATGAGGGGGAGGTAGATATGGGGGAGGTGGATGTTGGGGCGGATGCTGATGATGAGGGGGAGGATGATTCGGAAGAGGAAGAGGATGATGATAGTTGTGTTGATGAAAGGGATGAGGAGGAGGAGGATGAGGAGGAAGATGAGGAGGAAGAGGAGGAGGACGAGGTGGAGGTAGAGGAAACGGAAGAAGAGGAAGAGGAGAGCGGGGAGGAGGAGGAGAATGGGAGGGAGGAGGAGCGTGAAGGGTACAAGCTGGGGTTATCAGAAGCGGCTACTGTGCAGGCAGCCGCAGGGCCTGCTGTAGCCATCTTGGCTGTTAGTGCAGCGGGTGTAGTGGCGGGGAGAGAGGGGGCGGAGGAGGAGGGCAGTGAGAGCGAGGAATTCGCGGATGCACAGGGCGCATCAGGGGAGTTCGAGGAATCAGAGGGATCAGTGGGGTCAGAGGGGCATGAGGGGTCTCAGGGGCGTGGAGAGTCAGGAGCAGGAGGGGAAGAGGACGAGAGCGAGGAGGGGAAGGAGACAAGGGGCGACGATGGGGAGCAGCAGCTCTCCCCCAGCCTGCACAGCCAACCGCCTTCCCTGCCTCCTGAGACACCTGCCCCCGCTGCTCTTGCCTCCGCTGCTCTTGCTGCTGCTGCGGCTGCTGCCACCACTGCCAGCAGCAGTTGTGCACCTGCCACTTCCTCCCCACCTCATGCTGCCTCCGCCTCACTCCCCACCCCTTCCTCCCCTGCTGACCTCCCCCTGCCTGCTACTGACCTCGCTCTCCCTCATGCCTCCTCCCAACCATCACCCCCAGCAACCGCTTCACCACCATCTGCAGCCGCTGCTGCAACCGCAGCAGTGGCAGCAGCAGGGGTGGTGGCAGCGGCAGCAGGGGTGGCAGCATGCAGTCAGCTTGGGGAGGGCTCTGCCAGCACAGCCAACGCTGACAGTGCTGGCAGCACTGGGAGGGGTGAGGCCGTGCCGGTGGTGACTGGCAGTGGTGAGAGCAGAAGAGTCGGTGTTGACACGGCTGGTGGTGCCGTTGAACGCGCCACGGATGCGGTAGGCACCGAAGAGGAAAGAGTCGGTGATGACGGCATGGGCGGCATGATTGGCACAGGTGGCAACGATGGCATGGGCGGCACGGGCGGCAGCAGCGTGGGCGGCATAGTGAACATTGAGGATGTGGACGACGGCGCTTCTGACAGCTCCTCTCTCTACCACGATGCCCACATGGGCCGCTTCAGCTCTGCCTCCTCCCTGCGCTCCGCTTCTTTCCGCAGCACCGCCTCTGCTTTTGACGACGCTGCCTCCTCTTTTGACGACAGGGCCAGCACCATTGCCGGCTATCAGACCCCGCCCACCTTCCCCCCTTCCCCCGCCTACTCTTTCTCCTCCGCCCCCTCCCCCTCCCGCCTCTCCCTCAACTCCCGCTCCTTCTTCCCCTCCCCGTTCCCCCCGACCCTCACCGCACCGCACCTCTCTCCACCGGAGTCCCCTGCCTCTGCAGCCTCAGAGGCACTCTACTCTGCGCGCGACTACTTCACCCCACGCGCCCAGTCCCCGTCTGCTGCCTCTCTGCGCTCTGACCAGCGCTTCTTCAGCAGCCCGGGCAGCAGCGACGGCTTTCACACGCCTCTTCACACCCTGCAGTCGCCGTCTCCTCGTGCCGGCCTGTACTTGCCCTCTCCCCGTGGCACTTTGCATGCTCCTTCCCCCCGCGGCAGTCTGCGCTCTCCTTCCCCCCGTGCTAGCCTGCGCTCGCCCTCTCCCCGTGCTGACCTGCGTGCAACAGCCCAGCGAAGCGCCTTCCACACCCTCACTCCTCGCTCCGCTCTCCGCTCCCTTTCTCTGCAACCCGCTCGGCCTTCCTTCGCCGCTGCCAGTGCTGCCGGCGCTCGCAGTCTAGCGGACAGTGGAGGAGGGACTGGAGGCGGACTAGGAAGAGAAGAAGCAGAGGGCAGGGATACCAGAAGGGATATCCGCCGGGATTCTGGCAGGGATGGGCAGCAGCAGCAGGACGTGGGCCAGCAATTAGGGGGAGGGAGGATGGCGGCAGAGGAGGTGGAGGTGGAGGTGGAGGAGAGCGAGGATAAGTTTGTTGTGGCTGAGCGGCCTGCTGCTGGCCACTCGCAGCCCGTGCAGGTGGAGCAGCGACAGGAAGAGGCGGAGAGGGAAGACGAAGAGACAGAAGAGGAGCAGAAACAAAGCATACCGCAGGAAAGGGTTATTCCAGCAGCAGTTCCAGCCGTGGTCGCTGCTGTTGTTCCCATTCCTGACGCCCCATCATGTGACCCCCCAGCATCTGAACCCTCTCCCTCTGACCTCCCTGCTACTGATGCTGCTCCTCCTGAATCTGCTGCTACCGCATCAGCTGCTTCTGGAGAAGACGCCAAGTGGAAGCTGCCTGGAAGAAGCCTATTTGGTCTCTTTGCACGAGGCGCCGGTGGGAATGCAAGCAGACGCACTGGGGGGACAGAACGTGTGGCGGAGGAAGGAGTGGAATGTGTGGGGGTGAGGGAGAGGAGCAGCGGTGATCCGAGAGGGGTGGAGCACGAGGATGAGTTTGAGAGCGCTCGGGTTGGGCTGAGGGAGGATGACATGGCGGCAGGGGATGAGGGGGACGGAGCTGAAGGTGGGATGGTGGTGGGGAGAGCAGAGGGCGACGAGCAGAGGGAGGGTGAACCACGGGACGACGAGGAGGCGAAAGGGAGGAGCGATCAGAAACGACCGGAAGAGGGGCGGGAGATGGGAGGAGCGCCAAGGGAGTCGGAGGAGGAACGGGTTGAAGTGGTGGGAGAGTCAGAGAGTGCAGGCGGTGGGGACATGGTCAAAGGGGATGGCAGTGCTCCCTCTGCATCTGCTGCAACCACTGCGGGTGCTCCAGCGGTGGCGGCTGCTACTGCTGCTGCTGCTGTTGCTGCTGCCACTCTTCCCAATCATCCCCCTGCTGCACTGTCCCCACCTCCTCTTGCCTCATCTGATGCCCCTGTGCCTACTTCTGTGCCCGATCCACCGCAGCAACACACAGCAGCAGCTCTGCCTTTGCGCCAGCAAGCAGCAGCGGTGGAGAACAGGGCACAGAGCCGAGCAGCAGAGCAAGGGCAGCCCCAGCACGAACAGCAACAACAACAGATGGCACCGCAGAAGGCACAGCAACAGGAAGTGCCCGAGGTGCAATCCTCTGCTGCACGTAATCCACTGCTTGAAGCACCACCACCAGCAGCATTTCCAGAATCACCGCCAGCAGCAGCGGCAGTAGCAGCAGCGCTGGCAGTGCCACCAGTGGACGAATTCCTTCTCAGGCGTCGTCGCAGGGACGCTCTGATGCAGTTCTCCCGCTCCTCTAACACCTCCCGCTCTGCCCTCTCCTCCTCTCGCCCTCCTGCCATCCTCCCCACCGCTGCCTCTGCCGCTGGGATCCCTCGGGCCCGGCTGCGGCCTGCTGTGTCCATCGGCAGTGCTGCTGCCCCAGCTGCAGGGGAAGCTTCTCAGCTCGCCCCAGCAACCCGTGAAGGCCTGAGGCCAGGTGCAGCGGGCGCAGCAGGAAAGAGTATTGCTGGCAGCAGTAGTGGTTTGGATGGGTTGAGAGGTGCAGAGGAGTCAGTTTCTGGTATGGAAAGGATTGGAGATTGGGAAGAGGGTGGCGAGGAAGAGGAGGGGGAGGTGTTGCAGGGGCTGCGGGTGAAGAACCGGCAGGGCGAGTGGGAGGAGAGTGAGGACTTCAGGCCGCAGTGCTTGCAGCAGCCACAGTGCATGCCCTCCCTGCACCTGCCCCGTGAGGGAGGGAGCACGGCGGGAGCTGCTGACGCAGGGGGGAAGCGAAAGCACGGTGGCAGACGAGAGCACGAGACGAGGTGGACTGATGACGATGATGACGATGACTCGGTAAGAGAAAGGGAGGTGTGTGGGTGGAGTCATAAGCAGATGAGATCATGACATTCATAAGTTCACATGACGTCCACTCTGAATGTCATGTAGGCATCCACTCTGCCTCTCTTTGTGTTCCTTCCACTAGTTCCATTCACTCACAAGTTGATTTTCTCACATTCCACCTTGCACTGCTGGCAGGAACCGGAGGAGCAGGTGCTGAAGCACCGTGGGGCTGCCTCCTTTGCCTGCTGCTTCCGCCCAGCCGTCAGAGACTGATGGCCACGGCAAGAAGCTGAAGGCCTCAGTTGTTGGTCTTCACTTCACGTCTTCACGACATCTCTTCACTGAGATGCCCACCTTGTCCATGTAGTACCAGACACTGTTATGGACACGTGGGGAGGACCGCCGCTTAGTGTATTATACATAGTGGTACAAGTGAAACCGGTTAGGCTGATGCCCCTAACCCATCTTTTGTATTTACTTATTAAAGATATCTAACCTGCATCCTTGCATATGTACCATAAACCCCCGGATATAAGACCCCCTCCAGTTGTAGACCCCCGGGTCTATAATACGGGGGGAGGGGGGGTGCTCTTTTTGGGTCGTTAGTTATGCCCCCTTTTTATAGTGAAATCATTGTAAGACTTTGTCAAGTGTTGTAGCCTATAGTGAGGTATGTCATATGGGGTACAGTTCTTAGGGTTAGGTTTATGTACCCCAACCAACATTGTCAATGCAACACTTTCGATTCTGACATGGTATCACCTAGGTTAGGATCCTGTGGGATCCCGTTCCTCCCGTTCACGCAAGTAGCGCCCGAGCCTGTCCCGCACCCTAGTGCTTGTCACGTCCGTCCCGTCCCCTAGCGCCTGTTGCGCCCGTCTCTCTCGTCCCATAGCGCTCGCTGCGCCTGCTCGTCGCATCAGTTAAGGCACCATTAGAGGTGGTGCACATGGGCCTTGTAGGTCCTACGTGGACTGGGAGGACTGGAGGAGCATTGTACTTCCTCACCATGGTGGACGAATGGAGTCGATTCACATGGGCGCGTCCTTTGTCAAAGAGTGACGCCGCTGCAGTAATCGAAGAGAATTGGCTGCTGATGGTCGAGCGGCAGCCCATGAGACTGGTGAAGGTGCTTAGAAGTGACTGTGGTGGTGAGTTCCTTGGGACTGATCTCACCAAGTTTATGAAAAGGAGCGGCATCCGACACCAGCAGACCTGCCTTGGAACACTGCAGCAAAACAGCATTGCCGAGCGTGTCAACCGGACCATTGGCGAGGCAGCCAAACCTTGTAGGGGGCTGCTGGAATGCCCTACAAGTTCTAGCCTGATGCTGTCCGCCATGTCGTTACGGTCAAGAACGCAGTCATGACACATGTTGGCGAGAAGCATTGGGTGCCGCATGAGCGTTGGTTTAGCAAGAAGCCAACCATTGATATGCTGCGTGTGTGGGGCTGCATGGGTCTCGTTATGGTGCCTAAGGACCAGAGGCACAAGCTGGAAGTTGCTGCTGTGTGGGCTGTCCATCTTGGGATGGCGCCTGGCTTGAAGGGGTGGCTGATGTGGGACCCCAAGAGCAAGAAGACGATGACCAGTCGTGACGTCAAATTTGTTGAGGACGTCATGTACAAGGACTGGCAGCAGCAGCACCAGCAACAAGTGCATATCGGCCTGCGTCTGCAGGATATAGAGCGGTACGCACTGGAGGAGGTTCAACTGCACCTCGATGATCTCCCTGGGTCAGAGCTGACCAGTGACCACAGTGGCGGTGGTGAGCAGCAAGTTTCTGGTCCTGCTGCGGAGGAGGGGTTGGAGGATGAGTCAGTGCGTGAGGACTCAACTTTTCAGCCTAAGCCTACTACACAAGCCAAGGTCACTAAGGGGAGTGTACAGAAAAGAGCTTCACCACTTGAGCAGCAAACTGCTACTTGTGAGAAGAGAGTGGCAGCACTGCCTTCAAGGCTGAAGTATTGCCATTTGGGAGGACCCAATGGCGGTTCAAGCTGATAAGGGAGATGATGAAGATATGGCTTTTGCTTCTTCACACCCTTTCCTGGAGAACCATTCACATTGGAGGAGGCAATCAATGAGCCCCAAAAGGATGAGTGGAAGGCGGCCATGGATGCGGAGTTCAACAATCTCATTGAGAATGAGTTTTGAGAGCTTGTTGAGCTACCCGAAGGGCGACGGCCCATCAGCAGCAAGTGGGTCTTCAAAGTGAAGACGGATGCTGATGGAGCACTGGTTCAAGAGCCGCTTGGTCGTCAAAGGGTTTCAGCAAAAAGAAAATATCGACTTCAAGGCGATCTTTGCTCCTATGGCTAAACCAGTAACATTGAGGACTTAGCTGGTTAGCGCAGCTGTGAAAGGATGGCATGTGAAGCAGATTGATATCACCACTGCATTCCTCGATCGAATACTGTTGGAGGATGGTATGAAGTAGCCTGATGGCTATGAGGATGGTACTGGTCGGGTGTGCAAACATAGAAGGCTATCTATGGCCTTAAACAAGCACCAAGGTGCTGGTACGAGAAGCTCGAGGAAGTGCTGCTGGCTGGAGGCTTCAAAACATCCCAAGCTGACCACAGCTTGTTCTCACCTTCCATGGAGTAAATGGAGAGGGCTCAAAAGTTGCTGATAAACAGTTTCAAGTGCAAGATGCTTGGGGATGTCCACTATTACTTGGGGCTGCAGATTGAGCGAGATGTCGAGAGGAAGTGGCGAAAAATGCATCAGACACACTACATCTCTGACGTCACACACACCACCGCAGAAATTGGAATTTCTCGGAATGGAGTTGGGCACCTAATATGGAATATTTACGATCGGCCCCGAACTCATGCACACGCTCCGCGTACTTATCACTACAACGAGCGTCACCAACGGGTATCAGCCCGCCTCGTGGCACGGGTCACAGACATACTTGCGTCCATGGCGCTCGCCCTCAGCACAGCAGCGCGCTCATTCAGTCACCAACTTCTTGATCTCATAAATGAAGCATCGTCATGGAATGCTAGACAGAACCTGACCTCGGAGGCTCGTGACGGAACCCCAGTTTTGGCTCGATCGCTTCGATCTTTTCAACGGGGCGCCTTTTCACATGCCCCACAACCTTGACACGGTTATTCACGTGGACGCCAGCTCACACAGTTGTGTTGCGAAACTAGGCAAGAATGAGTGCATTGAGCAGAGAAGTGGGTACAAATGCTAACCCTAATTTGGGTTGTACCCGCTACAACCTACACAATCGAAACACGATTATAGTTTGATACACTCCCATAGGCACACTAGGGAAGAACAAGTGGTCACAAGCTGGCCATGCTGCTGCAGCTCTCGAGGAAGGAAGTAATGCAGAGCGATGTGCTTTGTTTTGTGCTCCAGTCTGTGCTCCTGACACAAGGCAATAGCGGCCTTGTTGTCGACGTACAGAACAGGAGGAGAACGAGGCCGCTCTCCCAAGTCGGTCAACAGGTAGGTGAGCTGGCATAACTCCTGTGCATCCATGGCTCCAGCGTAGGTCTCAGCCACACAACTGGAGCTGAGAACAGAAGAAGAACAGGTAGACCGCCAAGAGACAGAGGCGGAACCAAGGCTGAAGGTGTAACCCTGTGACGACCGCTGCGTAGCCAGGTCGTCGACCCAAGAGGCGCCTGAGTGTCCAGTGAGGACAACGTCACCCCGTCCTCCAAGCACCAGCCCCATGCCTGATGTACTGCACAAGTAGCGCAGCACCCTCTTAGCAACCTCCCAGTGCTCTCGCCGGTGTTTCCTAGGCGCAACGTAGCGAGCTAGGATGCTAAGAGGGTACGCAAGGTCAGGTCGAGTGCAGGTCATCAGGTACATGAGGCAGCCCACAAGCTCTGGGTACGGGCCACTCGGCTCTACGGACTCGTCCGAAGGTGGAGCTGAGAGCGAGTGACCTGTAGGCAGAGGAGTGGACTGTGGTGAGGAGAACTGGAAGCCGAAGCGCTGAAGGACCTGCTGCACCATGTGTGACTGAGTCAGAGTAATGGTGCGGCGTGCTCTGTCCCGGGTGATCTGCAAGCCAAGGTAGCTACGCAGCTCACCCAGATCAGTGCAGGTGTGTCTCTTCTGCAGCTCCGACTTCACAAAAGCAAGTGCCTCAGTGTCACCAGAGGCGAAGATCAAGTCGTTGACGCACATGAGGATGTAGAACGGCGGCAGTGGCGGAACTGTCGTTGCGTATGAAAAGCGACGGGTCTGCAGTCAAAGGAGCAAACCCAAGAGCCGCAAGTGTCGTGCCACTCACGAGGCGCCTAGCGGAGACCGTAGACTGGCCGCCGGAGGCTCCATTGGGTACCAGGAGGGAACGACCCAGTGAAGCAAGGTGGGCGGCGCAGCCAGATCTCCTCGTGCAGGCTACCCTGCAAGAACACTGTCTAGAAGACAGGCGGAGAACCCAGCGGCCGCTTCACCCTGAAAATCCACATGCCATTGACGATGTTCGCCCTAGGAGGGGGAACCTCGTCAACGTAGGTGCCTGTGGACTTCCAGGATGCCATCTTTGCGTCCATGGCTGTCTGCCATTGAGAGGAGTAGGGACCCGAGATCGCCTCTACGTAAGAGCGCGGGGTCGGGATGTCTAGTGCATCCGGGTCTCCCTCAGGAGAAGTAGCCAGGCCACGAGATGAGGTACAGCAGCTGCAAGACACTCAAAGTCCTCCTGCCTGTCCTTAAGGACGTCCGTGCCAAGAGCACACTCACCCCCGACGGATGGAGGACAGACAGACTCAGACTCAGCAACAAGACTGGCGGCGTAGTCTAGACGACACGCAGCAGCAAAGTTCACAAGCTCAGCAACTAAGGAAGACGTAGCAGCAGACGCAAACGATGGGTTAGTGACAAAAGTAGCCAGGAGACGGGTGACAGTAGGGCTGGCAGCACGAACACGGTCAGACTCAGGGTCCGGAACGTCAGGAAGAGAGGACGCAGGAGGAGACGGCAGAGGGACGCGCTGTGGAGCAGAGGAAGGACGAAGTGCCATAGTGTGAGTACCTGGCACAGGAGGAGGACGCGGGCGCAGGACACGACGAGCACGGCGAACA